TCAAGATAGAGCTTTGCACAAGGTGCTCAGTTTGAGACAATATTACCCAGCCTCCTTGACAGCTTGGATGTGGCCTTTCAACTAGTTTATCATCCGTGCTTAATGTGTGTGTTTGCAACCATTGCTTAAGGAAATGGCCTACTCATTCACCTGTGTATGGACATTTTAGTTGTTATGAATACTACAAAACTTTTCAAATTGCATACCTTAAATATGTGCAGTTCAATGTGTATAAAGTATACTTCAATGAAGTATAAACCAAACAACCAAAAAACAAAAAAAAATAGATTGTCCTTTAGTTTTTCCTCATTCTCCCTTCCTATGGGCTAGACTACAGATGTGGTAATGACTTAGATTTGAAAATGCATTTAGGAGCAACATCCTTGGAAATGTCAGAGCAATCAGATAGTAGGAATCTGGATCATGCTAGCATCATGGTGCAGAGATGCCATGCCAGCTTGGAATTTTTCTTTGGACTGGCAGATGAGGGAGATACTGTCATCTAATTTAAGCCATGTGTTTTGGGGGTATAGTCTATACCCTATCTATACTACATCAGGCAACAATACCAACATAATTACCTAGTATTTCTCAAAAGACTGTCCAAATGTCACCTTCATCAGAATGACCTCGGCAGCATATTAAAAATGCAAATTTCAGGCATTGTGAAGCCAAATTCTTGTGGGATAGTAGTGCAGGGAACCTGTGTGATGACTGTATAAACTAAAGATACAATTATCCTGGATTATTAGCTTTCTGCTTTTTTATGGCCTGTGGAAAATGGTCCAAGACAGTAGACAAACATTGACCACTTGGTGTTTGTAAGTAAGAGTCTCGTGACCTCTTATACATAAGAGGTCATGAGGGTAAAGGCAGTAGAATTTTTCCAGTTATGCTTAGAAATATGTGAGAATCACTGTTATACCCTTTCAATTTCTTACTTCAAACTCTGGGCAGGGGATAGCAGCCTCAACATCATTTTGGAGTTTTTTTTAGAAATGCAAGATCTCAGGCCCCAGCTAGACCTACTGAATCAGAATCTGCAGACAATATCAATAGGTGATTCATATGCATATTAAAGTTTGAAAAACTTAACCCTCTCCTTGGAAATAAGTGTCTGAAAGAGGTCTGACATTTATGCAAATGGCACTCATGGTTAGAAATTCAGTGGGCAACCTCCAAAATGGTGTGGACAGTTCTAGAAGTCAATGGGTATATTTGGCCCAGAAGTGGGATTGCTGGATCATATGGTAGTTTATTTTTTATTTTCTAAGGAACCTCCATACTTTTTCCACAGTAGTTCTACTAATGTACATTACCACCAATAGTTAACAAGGATTCTCTTTTCTCCAAAACCTTGCCAGAACTAGTTATATCTTGTCTGTTTGATAATAGCCATTCTACAGGCCAGAGGTGATATCTCTGGTTTTGATTTGCTTTTCTCTGATGATCAGTGGTTTTGATTTGCTTTTCTCTGACGCTCAGTGAGGTTGAACATCTTTTCATATACCTGTGGCCACTGGTATATTGGAAAAATATCTATTCTAGTTCTTTGCTCACTTGTCATATTAATTGGATTATTTAATTTTTTTTTTGCTATTGAATTCTATAAGTTTCATGTATATTTTGGATATTAACCCTTTAGTAGATATTTGGCTTGTAAATATTTAACTTCATGCTTTAGGTTGCCTCTTCATTTTGTGGATGATTTCTTTTCCTGTATAGAAGCTTTTTAGTTTGATGTGATTCCACTTGTTTATTTTTGCTTTTGTTGTTTGTGCTTTTGGTGTCATATCCAAAAAACTACTGCAAAGACCAATGTCAAAGAACTTTTCCATATGTTTTCTTCTAAGAGTTTCAAGTCTTATGTTGAAGTCTTTAATCCATTTTGAGTTAATTTTTGTATTGTAAGATAAGGGTCCAATTTCACTTTTTGCATGTAATATATAAAAATTCTATTTTCTAGTACCATTTATTGGAGAAACTATCTTTCCCTATTGAAAATAAAATGGGTTTCTATTTTCAAATATTAGTTGACTGTATATGCATGGGTTTATTTCTGGACTCTTGATTCTATTCCACTGGTCTATGTATCTGCTTTTACACCAGTACCACACTGTTTTAATTATTATACCTTTGTAACATAGTTTGAAATCAGGATCTATGATGTCTTCAGGTTTATTCTTTTTTCTCAAGATTGGTTTGGCTATTTAGGGTCTTTCATGGTTCCATATGAACTTTAGCATTTTTTTTATTTCTGTAAAATAAAGCCATTAAAATCTTGATAAGAATTGCATTGAATCTATAGATGGCTTTGGGTGGTATGGACATTTAAGAACATTCTTCTGGGGCACATGGGTGTCTCAGTTGGTAACACATCCAACTCGATTTTGGCTCAGGTCATGATTCCAGGGTCATGGGATTGAGTGCCTCGTCAGAATCTACTTAAGATTCTCTTTCTGTCTCTCTGTCTCTCTGTATCTCTCTCTCTGTCTTTCTGCATCTCTCCCCCGCCCATGCTCTTTCTTTCTCTAAAATAAAAAACAAGAGGAAAAAAAAGAATATTAATTCTTCTGATTCCTGACTATGGGATATACTTTAATTTATTTGTATCTTCTTCAATTTCTTTCAGCAATGTTGTATAGTTTTCAGTACATAGATTTTTCACCTTTTTGGTTAAATTTATTCATAAGTATTTTATTGTTTTTGATGCTATTGTAAATGGGATTGATGTCTTTATTTCTTTTTCAGAAAGTTTGTTGTTAGGGTACAGAAATGCAACATATTTCTGTATGCTGACTGTGTATTCTGTAACTTTCCTGAATTTTCTTAGTTCTAAAGTTTTTGGTAGAGCCTCCAGAGTTTTCTATATATATAAGATCATATCATCTGCAAGCAGATAATTTTACTTCTTCCTTTCTCATTTGGATGTCTTTTATTTATTTTTTTCTTGCCAGATTGCTCTGGCCAGGATTTCTAATGCTATATTAGATAAGAGTGCTGAGGGTGGGCACCCTTGTCTTGTTCCTGATCTTAGAGGAAAAGCTTTCAGTATTTTGCCAATGAGTATATTGTTAGCTGTTGGCTTATTATATTGAGGTATATTGTCTTACACCCAATTTTATTTAAAGTTTTTATCATGAAAGTATGTTGATTTTGTCAAATACTTTTTCTGCATCTATTGAGATGATCATATGATTTTAATGTTTCATAATATTAATGTGATTTATCACATTTATTAATTCACATATGTTAACCCAACCTTGCATCCTGGGGATGAATCCCACTTGATCATCATGTATAATATTTTTAATGTGCTGTTGAATTTGGTTTGCTAGAATTTTGCTGAGAATTTATTCATCTATAATCATCGAGAATATTGGCCTGTAATTTTCTTATAGTGTCATTGTCTTGCTTTTTATCAGTGTAATGCTCCCCTCAAAAAAATGAATTCTAATGTTTCTTCTGTTTTGAGGAAGACTTTGGAAAGGATTGGTTTTAATTCTTTAAACGTTTTATAGAATTCACCAGTGAAACCATCCCATTCTGAACTTTCCTTTGTTGGAAGGGTTCTTTATCACTGATTCCATATCTTTACTCATTTTTGGTCTGTTCAGATTTTCTATTTCTTTACAACTCAGTCTTTGTAGTTGTATGTTTCCAAGTATTAATCCATTTTTTTCTTCTAAGTTGTCCAATTTGTAGGCACGTAATTGTGCGTGGTGTTGGTTTTTTTTTTTTTGTAACAATCCTTTGTATTTATGTGGCATTGTCTATAATGTCTTCTCTTTCATTTATTATTATATTCATTGTAGTCTCTTCTCCTTTTTTATTAGTTTGAAGATTTGTCAATTTTGTTTATCTTTTCAAAGAATTAATTCTTACTTTTGTTAATCTTGTCTTTTGTTTTCCTACTATTTATTCCTGCTTTAATCCTTACTATTCCTTCTTTATGCTAACTTTGTGCTAGTTTGTTCTTCTTTTTCTAGGCCCTTGTGGTGTAATGCTAGGTTGTTTATTTGAGATCTTTCCCTTTTCTTAATGTATGTGTTTATAGCTGTAAGCTTTACTCTTAAGAACTGCTTTTGCTGCATCCCATAAGTTTTGGTATGTTGTGCCTCATTGTATTTTGTCTCAAGAAAGTTTTTTTCATTTTTCCTTTGATTTCTTATTTAATCTATTTGTTACTGAAGATTATGTTGTTTAATTTCCACATATTTGTGATTGTCCAGATTTCATACTGTTAATCGATTTCTAGATTCACATTGTGGTTGGAAGATATGCTTGATGTAATTTCTATGTTCTTGATTCTATTGAGACTTGTTTTGTGGCTTCACATATGATCTATTCTTGAAAATCTTCAATTCCATGTGTAATTGAGAATAGTCCACCTGTTTTTTTCAATTAAACAATTTTTAATTGCACTTTTCCCTTGCTGTTTGGAATTTGTCTTGCATGTTGTCTGTAGTTATGACAAACAAATGTGCACACCATAATGTATCAATGCCTATTTCAAGTGCAATACATTAATTTCACCTCAGGCAGAGTTACTGTCCCCATCTCAGAAATAAATAGTAATTGGAGGCCCTTTAAGCAAGTCACTGGGAGGTTTATGCATAATTGCTTTGACTATATTCAATAGTTTGATTTCTTGAATAGGACTAAAATCCCCAAAGGATGTCCTGCATTTAATAGACCAGTCATGGGTCAATATGGCTTATTACTCACCGGGGATGAGGTTTGTATGTTTGGGGAAAGATTATTGGGATTCTCTCTTTCCACTCTTAAGGGTTAGTGGTATCAAAATTTTAACTTTGAAGTCCTGTCTGGGTTGAGGTGAAGAACAACAGGTCAATATAAATTAGTCAATTGTTAATGATAATAATAACAATTTACACAACTATAACCATAGTAGTAACGCAACACATTATTTATTGAATACTTTCTGTGAGTTTTACATGTATTATCCCCATTAAATTCTAAAAAAAAAAAGTAATGATAAACTAGGAAACTGAGGCTTAGAAAAACTAAGTGATTTACCCAAGATCACATAGCTAGGTGAATGGAGTGGTTGGTGTTTGACTTCAGATTCCAAAGAGTGTCTTTTCACTCTGAGATGTGAGTTCTTAGTGAGCCATGCAAAACCAATAATACTGGGCTGTTAACCAACCTTGAGGTAGAAAGCCAACAAAAATCCAGCTAATTAATATATGAGAAGAAATTAAATGAGCAAGATACAAGATTGTGTGAATGTAACTTGAAGGTACAGGTTACTCTTCATGTGATGGACATTCATGAGAGTTTGACTCCACAGGGTCCATTCTCCTTCTTACCAGCACCTTGGTTTTTGTGGGGTATTTACCTCTTCTCCTCAGGATTCCATATGGTGGGATCCTAATCAGGACCCCTGCTATCAATGATAAAAGGAATAGCCTTGTGATCTAAAGTTAACTGGACACTAGTTCCCTGTAGTTTGAATCTCAAACAAAATAACAAGCAGAAAGCACATAAGAGTTTAATTACCTGGAGGGTAGCTGGACTCGTCCTTCTCTGGGTTCATTCCTCTAGTTCCTGCAGTCCTTGATTCCATGTTGCCATTTCTCCTATCTCTTTCTCCAACTTACCTGTCAGAATTTCTGATATTTTAGAATATTTTCAACATATTCCCTTTGGCTTAAGTTAGTCAGAGTCAATTTTTATTGACCGCAACCAAAGAACCCTGATTACCACATCAGAATTATATTTTAATTCACTTTTTATGCCCTCATGGGTAGGTCAGGAATATTTAAGATCTGGTTGAGGCATAGAAGTGATACTTCTGCACAAAACTGAAAAAGAATGATTAAAATCTTATTACTTCATAAGCAATATTAATTTCTAGGGAATAGGCATGGACTTTTGAAAAGAGGGCATAAGATGAAGCCAGGGAACATCAATGTGAATACCAGAACTTTTTTACCTAACATTCAATGGCACAGTCTTTAATTTAGTACATGTACTTAACATTTCCCACTAAGCAAAATTTCAATAATAATAATAAAAAGCAAACACTTACAAGGTATTTCAGTGATCTGCAGGACTTTGACCATCCAAATAATCAAAATGGAATTTGTGACATTGGTTCACATTATGCACTCCTTCTTCCACTTGAAAACTTGAACAGAGGTCAGTCTCTAAAATAATGAGTATGACCAGAGAGTCAGAATACCATGCCATGGGGAAGAACTTTTCTCTTAGGTAACAGAGTCATTGTATATAAAATGGGGGTTAGGGACCACTGGACTCTAGAAGTTAAGACTAAAAGATGTACCTGTCAATGAGAATTTCAGCTGAGGTACAAAAAGGGCATTCAGCTTATACCTGAGTCCACAAAGAACATGATTGAGGGAAATTTATATGCTTTTTGTCCATTGGGGGAAAAAGTCAATAAAGATATTTCCTTGTTGATGGTAAAATGGACAGAAAAATAAAATAAACTATGGGGAAATATTAACAGTCATGCATCACAAAGGGAGAGACTAGGACTAACCTAAAGACTTCGAGGAGAAGCAGACATCAGTGGATGATTTATTATAGTAAACAGAAAATAACTTTAGAAAATTGATCATCAGTAGTGGAATGCAAGGCTTCCTGTTTCTGTGAAACAGTAGAGAAAGTCATAAGGAGAGACTTGGGTGAGATGAAAATGAAGGTTTCTGAGTGAGGAAAGGATTGTTAGAACATCAAAAACTAAACAACAGGATAAAACTGAATACCGGTAAAGAATAGTGTGGCACTGGCACAAAATTAGACACATAGAACAATGGAACGAAATAGAGAACCCATAAATAAGCCCACAATTATATGCCAATTGATCTCTGACAAAGGAGGAAAGAATATACAATGCGAAGAAGAAAGTCTATTCAATACATGGTGTTGGGCAAACTGGACAATTGCATGTAAAAGAATGAAACTGGACCACCTTTTAACACATGAAAATGGATGAAAGACCTAAATGTGAGACCTGCAACCATAAAAATACTAGAAGAGAACACAGGCAGTAATTTCTCTGACATTGGTCATAGTAACATTTTTCTAGGTACATATCCTGAGGCAAGGGAGACAAAAGCAAAAATAAACTATTGGGACTGCACCAAAATAAAAAAAGGGCTTGAACAGAAAAGAAAGTCATCAACAAAACAAAAAGACAACCTACTGAATGGGAAAAAATATTTGCAAACTATATATCCAATAATGGGTTAATATCCAAGCTCTATAAAGAACCTATACAACTCAACACCAAAGAAAACAAAACAAAGAATAAACACAAAAACACCCCAATCTGACTTAAAAATGGGCAGAGGACCTGAATACACATTTTTCCAAAGAAGACATATAGATGACAGACACATGAAAAGATGCTCAGTATCACTAATCATCAGGGAAATGCAAATCAAAACCACAAGAGAGGGGCACCTGGGTTGCTCCACTGGTTAAGCAGCTGACTTTTGATTTCAGCCAGTTTGTGAGATCAAGCCCTGCATTGGGCTACTTGCTTACAGCATGGAGCCTGCTTGCAATTCTCTCCCTTCCTTTCTGCCTCTCTCCTGCTTATGCTTTTTCTTTCTTGAAATAACTAAACTTAAAAAAAAAACTCACAAGGAATAATGACTTACATCTGTTAGAATGGTTAAAATAAAAAAAGACCCCCCAAAAAAATAACAAGTGTTGGGTGAGGATGTGGAGAAAAAGGAGCCCTTGTGCACTGTTGCTGGGAATGTAAATTAGTACCCCTACTATGGGAAACCATATGGAAATTAAAATTAAAATTGAAAAAAAATTTAAAATAGAAATACCATATGATCCAGTAATTCAACTATTGAGTGTTTACTCAAAGAAACTGAAAACACTAATTTGAAAAGATATATCCACCCCTATGTTTATTGCAGTATTATTCACAATAGTCAAGATATGGGAACAACCTAAGGGTCCATCAATAGGTGAATGGATAAGGAAGATGTGTATGTGCGAGAGTGCACACACACACACACACACACACACACGTGTGCACAGTGGAGTATTACTCAGCCATAAAAAAAAATCATGAGATCTTGCCATTTGAGACAACATGGATGTATCCAGAGGGTATTATGTTAAGTGAAGTAAGTCAGATAGAGAAAGACAAGTACCATATGATTCTATTCATAAGTGGAATCTAAAACAAATGAATAAACAAGCAAAAAAGCAGAATCAGACCTATAAATATAGAGAACAAACTGATGGTTCCCAGAAGGAAGGGGAGCGAAGGAAAGGCAGAATGGGTAAAAGGGCGTAGGAGATACAGGCTTCCAGTTATGGAATGGATAAGTCATGGGAATAGAGGTACAGTATAAGGAATATAGTCAACGATATTGTGACAGCAATATTTTGGGACAGATGGTAGCTATACTTGTGAGCATAGGATAATGTATAAACTTCTCATATGACTAGGTTGTACACCTGAAACAAATGTGACATTGTATGTTGACTATGCCAGAGAAAGAAGAAGAATAGCACAGACACTCTAGAAAATGAAACTAATGATGCACAGAGGAAGCTCCAGAGCTCTTATAAAATGCAGAAGAAACAGATAAAAAGATAAAAATGATAAAGGAGAAGATTGTGGCTCTACAAAGCGGGCACTGTGGATGAAACATAATGGCTTTAGGTGTTAAGGAGGAGGAAACAAGCACAAGTGGAGATGAAGCAATAATGAAAAACATACATTAAGTAAAAAGCAACTTCTCTCAGCCCTACAAAGACGAGTATCGAGAATAGGAGGATTCACTGTATGCTGGACAAAATCAAAGAAAAGAGAACCACACTTGAACATGACTGGTCAAAATGTTCGAATTAGAAGAATAAAAATAAATCCTACATTTGCCCAGGCAGAGAGAAAAATGTTGCCTTCAAAGATTGACCTTAACCTTTCTGTAATAGCAAATGCCAGAATTTGAGAAAAATCTTAGTGCTTTTGGATGGAAAGTTTGTAACCCAAGAATTTTAAAAGCATCTAGATTGTCTTTCACGCATGACAGACACAGAAAGACCTTTACCATTATTCAAAGGCTCAGAATCTGCTCATTGATGTGATCCTTCCATTTAAAAATATACTAGAAACATGCAGGAGATAAAAAATGAGCAAAAAGAGGAATTCTAGGCATTGTGCTGATTAAATTACAGTTTGCATCTTAAAATCAATAATAAATTGGATTTTGTCCTTCCAAGCCTGAAAGCATTCATGCATTTCTCTGCACGCCTAACTTTTTCTACCTTCTTGGCACCAGATGTAACTCATGAGCTATATCATTTGTGGTATCTCTTATGGTATCCATGGTATTCTTCTCTCCAAGTGCTTGTTGACAATGGACGACTTATGTGCAACATTGAGTATGAGAGGTTGGAAAAGGACTCAAAAAATTTGACTTCGTTCTACACAAAAGTAAAGCAAATATCTATACTCTGGCCATTTTCAATGCCAGAGATCTTGAAGGACAGTGTTCTGTATTTTTTCAAACACATATTGAACAACTCTATTTCTTGGGGTTTAATCTGGAAAAGATTATAAACAACCCAGTGGAAAATTTTGTCACCAAGGTCCTCTTTCCAGCTGCTCCTCACTTTAACTGTATAAAACAAATACATGTATTAAAAGACTAAGAAAAATGCAGCTGAATGTTAATAATATTAGCCAGTAAGTGGTGGAATTTGAGGTGATTTCATTTTTTCCCTTGCAGTTTGCTGTAGAATTTCACAACTGAGCATGTTTTACTGTTATAACTAGGAAGGAACTGAATTTAGAAACCACAATATTCAAAGGATATAAACAGGCAACTCACAAAAGCAGAAGCCTGAATAACCAGTAAACATGGAAAAGTATTCTGCCTCAGAAGTAATGTGAGAAATTCAAAATAAAACCTCAATATATATATTTTTAGACTCATCAGAATGGGCAATAATTTAAAAGTTTGGCTATACCGTTGATGGTGAGGATATGGTGTGGAACTCTCACACCCAACTATGAGAATATAAATTAGCACAAGCTTTTAGAGATTACTGTCAGTATCTACGAAAGTTAACAATGTGCAGATCCATGATCTAGCAATTACACTTTTAGATTGTTGCAGCATTGCTTATAATGATAAAAATGTGGATACAAAACCTGTAACCACTAGAAGGAAAAAAAATGGTTAAAAAATTTGTGGCATCTTTGATACTGTAATTAAGATCATTGAACATGAGCTACAAAGAATGATGTGGAATAAACTCAAAAAACATAATATTGAGAGAGGAAATGTAAGTTACAAAGGAATATTTAGAGTATGATCTCAGTTTTATAAGTTTAAAAACTTAAAAATCAAACCTTACCTTGTTTATGGATACAGCGTAGATAATCAAAATATAAAAGTATGCAAGGAAATGATAAAGTCAAGATGGCAGTTTTCTTTGGGGACAGATGTAAAATTGGGGAGGGGTAATACAAGGGGCACTGACCACTCTACAGTGTTTTTTCCTTGAGAAAATAAAAATCTGAGGCATGTATATGAAGATGTTCATGTCTGGCAAAAGTGATATAATAGGTAAGTATATTTTATTTATTGAAATAGTACATACAAATTTTAGTTGCTTGAAATATGGCATGGTAAAAAGGAAAATAAAATGTTAACAATATATTTCATTTGTAATACATCTTTTTATAAATATAAAAATTAAGTCTGTACCTATAATTTTAGTGTGCCATAGGATCACAAGCAGAAAAGCATTTATAGCATAAAGACTGGAAGGAAATAAAGTAAAAATCAAATACTAGTTATTTCTGGAGGATGAGACTATATATAATTAAAAGTTTTTCTTTTTCTGTATTTTTAAAACTTTCATTGAGATTATACTATTTTTATAATTTAAAATATAAAAATGATAAAAATATGATAAAAATGTGTTTGGGTCCTATGTAGACTCTATTTTTAAAAAGTTTTTTAATGGTTATTTACTTTTAAGAGTGAGAGAGACAGAGTGCAAGTGGGGGAGGGGCAGAGAGATAGGGAGATACAGAATCAGAAGCAGGATCCAGTCTCTGAGCTGTGAGCACAGAGCCTGAGGCATGACTCAAACTCATGAACCATGAGATCATGTCCTGAGCCAAAATAAGATGCTC